AGTTCTTTGGTTTATTGCCTCACATTGAGGTATGTCAGTCTGTTCCATGCCTCCCTGGTTCAGGTCTTATTTTGTTGGTCCATTCATTTTGTTCATTAGATTCCACAAATAAGTGAGATCGTGTGATCTTTGTCTTCCTCAGTTTGGTTTATTTCACTTAGCATAATATTTTCCAGGTCTAATAACATTTTATTAAAATTTAATGAAGGCAAAATACATTCCTAGAGAACCAAAGACAGAATTTTTTGCTGGGTAACCTGGTTTACAAAAAATATTAAAAGAAGTTTTAGAATTTTAGAATTTTACTTTTGTTTTTGGGGGGGTTTTTTAGAATTTTATTTTTAAGACTTTATTCTTTTCAGGCCGTGTTGTTAGGTACATACAGGTCCTGGATCATAACTTTCTGATGCACTGTTCATGTTCTGTTGTAATGACATACCTTTATTAATTAGAGCCATCCATCATTAATGGATATTTTGGTTATTTCTAATGTTTTGCTGTTATACAAGATGCTGCCATGCATGTTCTGGTAATACTTTGACACATAATGGTGCTAATATGTTTTATTGAGTTGTACACTTGAAACCTGTATGATTTTGTGAACCAATCTCACCTCAATAAATTAAATTTAAAAAAAACATACACACAGGCCATCCAAAAGCTGGAATGCTATTGTCATTATATGTCATAATGTCAACATGATATGTCAACAATTATCCTGTGGTCTTGAAAGAAAGTAAATGTGCTCAAATATTAACAACTGGTGAGTCTAAATGAAGGCTGCATGGGTGTTCACTGCCAATTTTTCTGTAGGTTTGAAATGTAAAAATTGTTCCTGTGAAAAAGGGTATTAACATTTATTATCTTTATGTAACAGGGAGAACAGAGTTCTGGTGAGCTGGAGATGGGTCTAAGTCTATTAACTTGCATTTCACAAAAACAATTTTTACTTTTAAAAAAATTTATTTATTCTCTTTTAATCCTCACCCGAGTATATTTTTTCCATTGCTTTTTACAGAGAGTGGAAAGCAAGAAGGCAGGAAGGGAGGGAGGGATGGAGGGAGAGAGAAACATCTATATGAGAGAGACACATGGGTTGGCTGCCTCCCGCACAAGCCCTGACTGGGGGCCCAGGATTGAATCTGCAATCCAGGTACGTGCCCTTGACCGGGAATCAAACCCACCACCCTTCAGTGCACAGGCCAATGCTCTAACCACTGAGAACACTGGCCAGGGCAACAATTTTTACTTTTTAAGACCATGTTTCCAACTTTATTTTTACATTTCAAACCTACAGTGTCTGTTTCAATCACTCTAAATATAATTTAAATTATATGTAGCATGAAAAGATTTACCCCCAAAATGTTTAAATCTCAATGTTTCTTTACAATCATTTTGTTCTAAGGGCAAAGAAAATCTTGACTTGCTCTAGGCCCTACAGGCAGAAATAGCATGTGGGGAATCCCTGCCTCTGGATTCTCCTCCAGGCTCAGGCCTGGACTTGCTGGGTTAAATGCTATTATTTAAAAATCGAACTTGGGAAATAAATTCATTCAGCAACTTGAATGCAAAAAAAATAATGAAAAGCTTACATATATAAAAAATATACAGCCCTGACTGGTTTGGCTCAGTGGATAGAGCGTCGGCCTGCAGACTAAAAGGTCCCGGGTTCGATTCCAGTCAAGGGCATGTACCTTGGTTGCAGGCACATCCCCAGTGGGAGGTATGCAGGAGGCAGCTGATGTATCTAACTCTCTTTCCCTCTCCCTTCCTCTATGTAAAAAATCAATAAAATATATTTTTAAAAAATATATATATACAGAAACTATTTCTAAATATAAGATAGCCAATCTTGGACAGAGGACTTCTGCAACCCTCTATTTGATGCTTCTATTAAATGAGGTGATTAAACAGTGTGTTGTCAATTTCTGCTTGAACCCCAGTTATGCATTGGGAGCCACAGAACTGGAGTTATCAAGGGTGAGTTTTTGAAAAACTGCCTCCGTTTTAAACTTTTTAAATGCTCACATTCATTCCCATTACTGAGAGTCAAAGCCAAACTCTCCGTGTAAAAAAAGAAAAATCCAGGGCGATAGATCACAGGGTTGTACTCCCCTTTTACAGATCAGAACCATAACCCATTCTTGCACTCCTGCTTCCAAGGCTCTGGCTTTTCTTTTTCTTTCTTTCTTTCCTTTTTTTTTTTTTTTTTGGTGTGTTTTGGGGGACTGGGGATGGGGGATATTGTGATTGATAGCACATTCTTTAACCAAGAGCAGACATTACTTGGGTTGGCTAGTGGGTGGAATATTTCAATTCACATTGTTTCTAAAAAGTGATGCTCAACAAGTTTGTTCTGAGGTGGTCAGATTTCATAATTAGTCAGTTTTCAATTATCCACGTAAATAAAAAAGGCTGTCAGTACAGACAACAGAAAAATGACAGATTCTACCACTGTGGTTAACCACCCAGCCGAGTTGCAAGGCTCTGGCTTTTAGACATAAAATGCTTTTTAATCTCTACGTCTACTGTGCGTCCCGGCGGCTCCAGAACCCGCCAAATCCCACTAAGGCCCGCCCCCAGCTACGCAACGGTCTCCAGATGCTCCGCGCGCGCGCGCGCAGTCCGGGTTCCCACGCTCGGCCACTTCCGCAATCTCCTGGGACGCCGCTAGCCCCGCCCTTCTCTTCTCCGCCGCTCCTTTTTCTTCCCTTTCGGACCGCCCCTCCCCACCTGGCTATTCGGTTGGCCCGCGCCCTCTTCATACGTCATTCAGCCGCGCCACCCGGAAGCCATGGTTCTTACCAACCTCTCTTATTGCCGGCGGCTCTAAGGTGAGGGCTGCGTTTGGGTATCCCTGGGTGGCGGGCCCCAGAGTTGGAAGGGGAAGAAGGCGGACGCCCCCCCCCCCCCCGCCCAGCGTTAGCTGGACGTGCTCACTCCCGACGTTGAGAGGGTGCAGATGGACTGTGCCTGAGGACACACTGAGTGTTCAACGTGGTCTTCCCCCTCCCCGTTCCTCAGGAGCCCATCATGGCGACGCCCCCTAAGCGGCGGGCCCTGGACGCCACGGGGGAGAAAGTGCTGCGCTATGAAGCCTTCATCTCTGATGTGCTGCAGCGGGACCTGCAGTGAGTGACAGTGGGGGGCGGGGCGTAGGGAACTTGCCACGTGGTGAGCAGGGCGGTAGGAGTCAGGGTCTAGCCTTCTGATTGGTGGGCAAGGTTTTTGGAGCCCGGCCCTCCGCGCCATTCAAGAGGGGAGGAGGGGCGATGGTTGGGGTGCTACTTGACTGGGACTTGGCGCCTTTATAGAGGATGTGTCCGCGCACACGCGGCCTTTGATGTTACTGAACAGTTAAGAGCTGGATTTCCTAGGCCAGAGTTCTCAGGTTTGAAACCAGTTTGGGCCATTTAGCCATCAGTGTGAACACGTGCCTCTCCTGGCCTTTATGGTCCTCAGTTTGCTCATCTGTGAAATGGGGAAGTTGATGGATCCTTCCATTTTACTCTTGTCCCATCATGTCCCATCAGAAAGGTACTGGATCATCGTGACAAGGTATATGAGCAGCTGTCCAAATACCTTCAACTGAGAAATGTCATTGAGCGTCTCCAGGTAAAGATGCCAAGGTTGGGTACCTTCTTTTGTGGGCAAGGGAGGGGCATGGGAGGAGATAACCCAGACCAAAACCTGTCACGTGGCTTAAAAGTTGACCACTAACCCCTACCTCTTTTCTCTGGCCCCACAGGAAGCTAAACACTCAGAGTTATATATGCAGGTGGATTTGGGCTGTAATTTCTTCGTTGACACAGTTGTGTGAGTGTCTTCCTGCCCCTTTAAGCCCACAGGGTTCAGCTTTCCCCTTCCTTCGTTCAATAAATATTTTTTTGAGTATTTGCTATGTACCAGACACTGTGCTAGGTGCTGGAGATGTGGCAGTGAATAAAATAGGACAACATTCCTGCTCTCCCAGAGCTGCAATTTGGGGAAGGGAAGGAGGGGAGGAGAGGGGAATTAAAAAGTCTTAAATAAACTGTATGGTATGCTAAACAGGGGTAAGAATTTGCCCCACTTCCTCTAACCGCTGTTTCCTTAGCTCAGACACCTCACGGATCTATGTGGCCCTTGGATATGGTTTTTTCCTGGAGTTGACACTGGCAGAAGCTCTCAAGTTCATTGATCGTAAGAGCAATCTCCTCACAGAGTAAGTCTATTCCAGGAGGATAGTGTCTAAGAACACCACCATTTGCAACACCTCTCCTTTTCTCCATGGCTTCCTGGGACACTTAGGGACCCATCTCCCCTCCTCCTCAGGGGTAGAGCTGAAGAAAGGGGGGATGCAAAGCTCAGCCCCGGATGTAGCACATATTAAGCACTCAATAATGTATTTTTCATTCACGCAAACATGTATTGGGCATCTGCTGTATGGCAGACTCTGTGCTTGATGGTGGGGAGGCAGCAGTGAACAAGACAGAGGGCTTCTTGAAGTCTCACATTCTAGAAGACCTATACTGTTATACATAAGCACAATTTTGACCAGATCCGTGGAGTCTCAGCCTATAAATCGCTAACAATAAAACAAGTTACCTCTGACTTCACCTCCTGCTAATATTTTTAAGATCTTTAATTTATTTATTTGTTTGTTTGTTTGTTTATATTTTATATTGATTTCAGAGAGGAAGGGAGAGAGAGATAGAAACATCAATGATGAGAGAGAATCATTGATCTGCTGCCACCTGCACGCCCCCTACTGGGGATCTAGCCGCAACCCGGGCATGTGCCCTGACCTAGAATTGAACCATGACCTCCTGGTTCATAGGTCAACGCCACACCAGCCAGACCTACTAATTTTTTTTTTTTCTCGTTCAGTACTCTCACCACACTGACCTTCACAGGCTTCTTTAAAAACCCCAGAATGGCCCTAACCAGTTTGGCTCAGTGGATAGAACATCGGCCTGACGACTGAAGGGTCTCAGGTTCGATTCCGGTCAAGGGCATGTACCTTGGTTGCGGGTACATCCCCAGTAGGGGGTGTGCAGGAGGCAGCTGATGAATGTTTCTCTCTCATCGATGTTTCTGACTCTCTATCCCTCTCCCTTCCTCTCTGTAAAAAATCAATAAAATATATAAAAAACCCCAGGATGATCCCACCTCAGGGTGATGGCAGTGGCTGTTCTCTCTGCCTGCAGTACTACTTCCCAGGTGCCGGCATGGCTCCTTCCTCCTTACTCAGTGTGAGTCTTGCTTAAATGTCACTTCCTCAAAGAGGTCTTCTGTAACCTGACTTTAAAATTGCAACCCCTGGCACTCCTGATTCCCTTCCCTCGCTCTACTTTTTCTTTCTCCCTGATACTTATGACCCCCTAATGTTTACTGTGAAATTTACTTCTTTCTAATGTTCATTGCCTCCTCCCATTGGGATATAAGGTTTATACGATAAAGGTACATATTTTGTCTATGCCCTAAGTGACTAGAATAGTACATAGCATATAGTAGGCAATCTGTGTTTGTTGAATGAATCTAAAAGTGAAAGCTGGTAACAGGTTAAAGTGGGGATTGAAGCAGATCTCTGTTGGTGGTGATGGGGAGGTAATGTGGGAAGAAAGTATGGGCTCCGGTTTCTTTTAAGGTTTTGTGCAGGGAAGGGGAATTGGGAATGTGGATGAGAAGTTTGAAATGTAGCTAGGGAAGGCCTTCCAGAGGAAGTGACATTTGAGTCACTTGGTTGCGTGAACAAGGTAGGGGGCTGTCCAGGGAAGAACATTCCTGGCAGGGGGACCGGTGTGCCTACTGTGTTAGAGGAATTGCCAGGAGAGGTGAGCATGGCTCAAGTGGAGTGAGTGAGGGGACCCTGAGGAATATACTTAGATTAACACCTCACTAAAGTGAATATCACTGATCTAAAATGCCTTCTGGGTTATATTTATCTTTATTCCTACATTCATTTCTTCCAGAGTTGCCTCCCTTAGGGTTTCAAACCTTTCCAGGGTCTCAGTGTTAGACCAAATAGAGCCTCAGACCTGCTGAGATTTCTAAATCTTCGTGATCAGGCCAGTTGGTGAACAGTTTACTTGGGGGGCCTGCTCTCACAGGCCAACGCAATTCTGAACTGGTGGTCATTTAGACCAAGACCATTTTTTATAACAAAGCTCTCCTTGTTAAATCACAGGATTTATGAGCCTTTCAAATAGATTTTAATTTTATGAGACTTGATGTCTTTAAGTTGTCAGTGCCTGCCCCCTTGTCTGGTCTTTTTGATATATTGGTGTGGTCTATTATTGTGATGAGAAATCTAGTTGAATCTCTATTAATTATAATTAGTGGGAACCCCTAGAAGTTTATTCTTTCTAGAAGATGAGGATTTGAGTCTGTGTAGCTTGCTCTCTTTAAAATGCGTGGTTTCTTATGGCAAACTTTCAACTTTCTTTCAGGTTATTTTATGTAGTAAAAATGTCCTATCAGTCCCTCCTGTTCTTAGTACATTTTTTTGTTTGGGGAGTGGGAGGATCAGGTCTCTTTGTGTATTCTTTCCTGATTACACACGAGAGTACACATTCACACCCATAAACAGACATGTCATTATAGAAGGAGCAGAATAACCATATGACTAGTAACATTGCCTTGCATGTTAAATCAGTAGCAATAAATTCAACATATCCCTTTTGTGTTACAACTAGCATTTGACGACTTTTATTTTTTTCTAAGTGTTGAACTCATAGCCTTTCATAGATTAAGCTTATACCATTAAGTAATTCTTTTCTTTGATGTTCAAATTGTACCTGATCAAGGGATCAAGCTGATCAATTTCATTCCTCTATTCTTTGATCACTACCCTAGATTTTCTTGAAAGCATTCTTGCTTTCTGGCAACAACACCCTCTATTTATTTCTTGTCCATAAGCATGGACTCAACCATCATTTGAGGATTTCACATTCCTTTGAGTAGAGTAGTCATTCACTTATTCCTTCAATATACATTGGGTGCTTACTATGTGCTACATACTGTTTGGGTTCCTGGGAATACAGCAGGGAACAAAGCAGACCAAATCTCTGCCAAATCTTACACAGTTTACATTCTAGTCAGGGGAGACAGACGAAAACATGTATATGATGTAGTGTGTCACAAACCATTCTTCAGAGAACAGCATGGAATGCAGATAAGAAAAATTGTAGTTACAATTTTAAATAGAATGCTGGATTGGATGTGGTGTGTGAGTGAAAGAGCAGTTCAGGTTTGGGGCTGAAAAATTGGAAGGATAAAAAAAAAAAAGAAAAACTGGAAGGATGGAGTTGCCATTATCTGAGATGGAGAAGACAGGGGCGGGGAGTAGAATTAGAGAAGATCAGGAGTTCAATCTAGGATCTGTTAAGTGTGAGCTGCTTGTTAAACATTAAGGTTGAATTTTTAAGATGTAGTTAAAACTCCCAAGGCTGGAGTTCGGGAGAGAGGTCTGGACTGAATATATACATTTGGGAGACATTGATATGTAAACAGGTTTATACTATTTTTTTCTAATTTATCATCCTGTGTTGTTGCCTTCTACTTTCTTACAGTATTTCATTTCCCTAAAACTGACTCCTGCATTTACAGATAGCTCAGCACAATGAAGTCCACATTCCTTATCATGATTTCAAGATCCGGCATGATCTAGCCCCTTACTTCTTGGACCCAATTTTCTTCCATCATTCACTTAATTTTCTAATACTGTCAAAAAGCTCTTTCCTGCCGTCTGGTCTTCTTGTGGAAATGACTTTCCTAATGTTTAACTCTTACTCATTCTACATTCTTCAGAAAGGCCTCCCATGACCCTTTGTCATTGAGGATTCTTTGGAGTGAAAATGATCCCAGTTGGCTTATCGAAGGAATGCACTGGTTTGTGTAACTCAACATTCCAGGGCCAAAGTGGTTTCAGGCAACTCTAGCTTCCCAGTTGCTTAGGCCTTTCTTGAGTACTCTCTGTGACACCCAACATCTAACCCTTTGGTAAATCCTGTTGACTCTACCTTCAAAATACTAGTATATCCCAAATCCAATTATTTCTCATCACCTCAACTGCTACTACTGTGGCCTGAGTCCATGTCTCACATGGACTATTGCAGTAGCTTCCTCACGGGGCTTCCTACTTCCATACCAGCTCTGCTTATCCCCAGTCGATTCCCCATAGAGCAGCCAGATGGACCCTCTAAAACCCTAGTCAGTTCACATCCCTGCTGTGATCACATCCCACTTACAATAAAAGCCGGAGTCCTTAACCATGTCCTTGTAGGTTTTACATATCTGCCTCCTGCTCTCTCACCTCACTGCCTGCAATCCGCCTTCACTTATTCTCCAGCCACACTGCCTCTGTTGTGCCTCAGATATGCCAGGTACACCCCCACCTTGGTGCCTTTGCATTTGCTGCCCCTTGTGTCTATAACATTCATCCTCCATCTATCCAGATGATTCACTTCTTCATTTTAAGTCTGTACTCAAATGCTTCTCAGTGAGACCATCCCTGAGCACTCTGATTAGAATTGCAGCCCCCACTCCTATACTCCTTCTCTTATTGTCTAATTTTTTCATCATACGTAGAACCATCTGACATACTCTGTATTTTACTCCATGATTTGTCCCTCTCAATGAGAATTTGAGCTTCATGAGGCCGAAGTTTTTGTTTGTTGTGCTTTCTGCTGTCTCCCCAGTACCTAATACCACCTGGCGTTGAGTAGGGATTCAGTAATTCACTAATTCTTTGAGTTAGTGCAGCTCAGATGATGGCCAGGCATCTCTGTATAGGAGCAGGTCAGATAGTGGGTGTCCTACCACCTGCTGTGTGGAAGTCGTCCAGGACATAGGTAGCTCTTGAAATGAGGAGGAAGCCTCATCCTCTGATCATGGGGCCCACTTCGCCCTTTCTTGTTTCTTTTCTCCAGGCTCAGCGACAGCCTCACCAAGGACTCAATGAATATCAAAGCCCATATCCACATGTTGCTAGAGGTGAGAGCAGCTCACCCCACTCCCAGACTCTGTCTCCAAATGCATTTAGGGTGGTGACCTGAGGAAGGGAGAGAGCCAGGGACTGGAAGGCCCATCTGTCCCCCTCTAAACGGAGCCAAGCTGGAGCCAGGGTGGCTCTGAGGGAGGGGAGGTCAGTGCAAGCCTGGGGTGGGGCCTCTGTTCAACCTCTTTTGTCCTCTTTTTCAGGGGCTTAGAGAACTGCAAGGCCTGCAGAATATCCCGGAGGAGACTCATCATTGACTTCTTCCCCCCTCTCCAGACATTAAAGAGCCTGAATGCCTTTTTGAGTCACACGGTCCTTCATTTTCCCCCTAACCCCTACTGTTTGCTAAGGTGCCCTGTGTCTAAAGCACAAAGTTACTAGGAGGCCCAGAGATCCAGTCTGTGTGGAATCTTTAAAGCACCCCTGAAGTCCTGCCTGCAGCCTGTTACCTGGCAGCATTTGCTGCTAGACTTACTGCTCTGTCCTCTCTTCTGTTGTCTTGGCAACCTGGGCCCCCACCTGACCCTTTTTTTTTTTAATCTTGGGCACTATTTTAATTGGGCCAATTCAGGGTGGAGGTTTGTTCCCAGGGCAATTGGCTTTTCACTCCTGGCCCTAAGGTTTACCCCTCTCCCACATCCTAATCATTCCTCAGGAACCTTAAATTACAACCATGCCCCGCTCGGCCTAAATTGGCTTCAGTGCTGCTTCTAAATAGTTCAGTTTCCACCAGTGGGCACGGAGCCAGATCCCGCCCTCCCTGGTCCTGCCCTTAGTCTATGTTTTATCCAGCTTCTAAGAAATACAGAGCCAAGTTCAACCCCTTTATAACTCTGGCTGCAGCGCGACCCTGCCCTCCTCGGCATTTAGTTTCCGCCACTCTGCTCCTTCACTTGTCTGGCAGCTGTCCTGCCCTTCTGCCTCTGCTTCGGTCTAAATTTGTCTTTCGTAGCCAATCACTATAGAGTTACCCTGCCCGCCTAGGCAGAGCTCTGGCCCGACCCCTTTACTGCCGGCTGCTACGCCCACTTCCATATAAGTCCTGCTTCCGCTGAGCGGCAAGGAGGGCAGCACCGCCCTGTCGTGTTTTGGCAGCTGTCTAGGAGCCCCTCATCCTCCAATCAGCAGCAAGCAGAGCCCACGCACCCCAATCCTCAGAAGTCTTCCATCAACCCCGTCTAGGCCAATCTGTGCGAGGCAGGCGCCCCCAGAGCCTTGTCAGTTACCCACTGATCAGTCTTTCTTGAGCCAATCAACGTGTAGCGCCCAGGGGGCTGAGCACGCCCCCTTGAACCCCGCCATCTGCGTTCCATCAGTTCCCCTTGGGCCAATCACGTCATCGCCCTGTGGAGCAGAGCCCGCCTCCCCAACCCTGGACGCTGCGGTCAATTATGGCGCGTGGCCAATCAGCGAGCCGCGAAACGCTTGGCTCCGCCTCCACAGGCCCACGTGAGCGGTAGGGAAGCGCAGGGGCGGCCTCTAGGTGTTGCCG